CATTTTCTTTCCACTATTTTTCTTTTCTTTAAATTCTATTTAGTTGTACAAATAGTGCATCAATACACCCTTCTTGAAAAAAAACAAAGCATTACGTTCTCTTTACCCCCAGCTCGAATTCTAGTATCACCTCCAGAGGTAAGTACTGTTACTGAGGTGATGTGTATGCTCTCGGACCTTTTTCTTTTTTTTTTGTCTAAATATATTTATAGAAAATGTATAGTATATTCCCACCTTTGTATGTTTTAGGAAAAAGAATGTCAAGCCCTAGATCTACACTTTCGTATTTTTGTTCAATGATATATCTGGGTGATAATGTTCAAACATACATAGCTCATACTATGTGCTGCATAGTATTTCACAGTATGGAAATGCCTTGTTTTAGTAACTGTCCTGTCAATGGGAATTTGTATGGTTTCAGACCTCCTCCCTTCCCTTTTTTCTATTATAAATAATGGCATAATGAATATCCTTATACATATTTTTAAGTACATGTAGGAGTACTTTTCATGGGGAGAGAATAGAGCTGCTGGGTCTGATGGTATTTGCATTTAATAGATGTAATACATTGATTTTAATACAGTCTAGCTAGTAGACCATCAAAAGGGTTTAACCATTTTATATATATATGAAGATAACCCTTCCCTTACACTTTGCCAATCCTTGATATTATCAAACCTTTAATTTTTCCAAACTGATGTACCAAAAATGATGTGTCTTTGTTTTAAGTCTTATTTCCCTGTTAGGGATGTTGGAGCATTTTTTCATATATTTTTTGGCCATTGTATTTCTCTTAATGAGAATTCTCTCTCTCTCTCTCTGTATATATATATATATATACTTATTTTTATTGAGTTTTGATTTTATTATTAGTTTGAGGTGTTCAAAATATTCTAGGTTTTAATCCTTTGTTTGATATATATATAAGACAATATCTTTCAATCTGGCATTGAGTGATCGATACCTATAAATTTTTGTACCTGACTGGGATGAAACTCTATGTGTAATTTTATATTTTGTCTTTTTCCACTAAAAATTATATTGCATGTCCCCTATCACTAAAGATTCTCCAATGATGTGATTTTTAATGACTGAATATAACTTTATTGTGTGAATATGACATTTTCTTTTTCTTCTTCATGTTAACACGCTTTTGTTGTAGAGCTCTAGTTGTTTTTGTAATTTTGTTGTTGAATATATTGGGAAAATTTTGCTAATGACCACTCTGAATATGTTTGTATTTAATCTTTGGGTGTATTCCATTTGTTTATTTTTTTAAAAAAATTTTAATGTTTATTTTAGAGAGAGAGAGAGAAAGACAGAGCATGAGCAGGGGAGGGGCAGAGAGAAAGGGAGACACAGAATCTGAAGCAGTCTCCAGGCTCTGAGATGTCGGCACAGAGCACGACATGGAGCTTGAAGTCAAGAACCATGAGACTGTGACCTGAGCCGAAGTCAGCTGCTTAACCCACTGAGCTACCCAGGTGCCCCATATTTCCGTTTATTTAGATAAGATTATAAGAAGGCAACTCATTGGGGGCAAATAGTATTACTTTAAATTTCATTGCTACATACTGCCAGTTTTTTTCCGGAAATTTAGTGTCAGCTTATCTTTCTATGAGCAGTGTGTCAGCATGTCTTTCTCATAGAATTCTTTTGCTCTTTTTTTTTGAACTATCTCATAATACACTTGATTATAAATAGTCAAATTATACTATCAGTTAGATATTGGGGCACCTGGGTGGCTTAGTCGGTTAAGCGTCCGACTTTCGCTTAGGTCATGATCTCGCGGTTCGTGGGTTCGAGCCCCGCGTCGGGCTCTGTGCTGACTGCCGGCTCAGAGCCTGGAGCCTGTTTCAATCTGTGACTCCCTCTCTCTCTGACCCTCCCCTGCTCACGCTGTCTCTCTCTCTTCTAGAAATAAATAAAACATTAAAAAAAAAAGATATTATTTCTAATCTTTAATATTGACATTTTAAATATACTTCAAACGATTTATGATAGGGATTGGTTTGTGCATAATGGAGGCTGAGCTCTCCCAAGATCTGCACCCAGCACTCTGGAAATCAAGAAGAGCTGGCCTCAGCTTCAATCCGAGTCTCAGTACAAAGGCAGGGGAAGACGGGTGTCCGGCCTGAAGACAGTCTGACAGAGAAAAGCGAATTCTTCCTTACTCAGCCTCTTCCTTCTATTCAGGCCTTCAGAGGATTGGATGAGACCCACTCACACTGGAGAGGCCAGTCTACTTTACTCTTCTACCAATTCAAGTGCTAATCTCACTGGGAACACTCACACAGACATAACTAGAATATATTGAGCCAAGTATCTGGAAGCCCTGTGGCCCAGTCAAGTTGACATATAAGACAACCTACTAAGAGACATATAAGAATTTCTGAGCAAATCGGAAAAAATGACCTTCGTTGGAAGACTCAGTATTTAAAAGTTGTCAATGCTCCTTAGGTTTATTTGTAAAATTAACTTGATCCCAGTAAAAATACCAGCAGGATTTTTGGGACTTTGATAAGCTGATTCTAAAGTTCACACGGCAGAAGGCACAAGTTAGAGTAGCCTGGAATATTCTGAAAAAGAAGCCCGATGTGGCACTAACATATGTGAACGAGCTCAGAGCTGCCTTTCAAGGCACTGTTCTTAGGTTGCTCTTGTCCCTCAGTCTCACTGCTTTTGCTCTGATTGTGGACCACACAGAGCATCATCCTGCCACAGGACCTTTGCTGAGACTTTTGGCTGTTTGAATGATGTCTGTTGTGCCTGCTTCTGTACCTCTTGTCTGTCTGTCTGTTTATTTATTTATTGAGAGCACACATGCGTGGGAGAGAGGGACAGGGAGAAAGAAAGAGAGAATCTTAAGCAGGCTCTGTGCCCTGAGCTCATGACCTGAGCCCATATCAAGAATTGGCTCTTAACCAACTGAGTCACCCAGGCACCCCCGCTCCCTTGCCTATTTAATACCTACTCAGTCATGACTTCTGTAGGGAAATCTTTCCTTCCCTCTTCTCTGATCGTAAGTCAGTTTCCTTTGTTTTCTGCTGCTTTCTTTCCTTGCATGTATTTCAGTTTGTAATTATGCAATCATGATTAAGGATGTCTGATAAATGCTCTTTTTCTTAGTAGGCTGTACTCTCAGTGCCTGACCCTGAGTAAGTTTTTAGTAAATATGTGTTGGTGAATAATCTCCAGTCCACTTGATTTAAAGGGTGATTTGAACCCAACATTGTCTTCGAAAGTCAGTATTCTGGGTCTGCCTCATGTGGGTCCTGCTCCAGGAGCAGAGGTAATGAGATCTTAATGGGTTGTTTCTTTCACCCACACACATTGGAGGATGTAAATGCTTTTTGATAGTGTTCTGCATTAGATGGTAACCTCCTAAAATGGAGGGCCATACCTAAAATTGTCTTCTGTGCCTTGTAATATGGTGTCCAGTGGACACTGTTTGTTCCTAAGAAGGAGGTATGACTTTATGGAATGATGACATCGTTCACTGAAAAAGGATGTTAGTCATTGAAAGAAATAATCATAGCTGTTGAAGAACTTATTTTCCTAACAAATTTTATAATTCGTTACGTACCCTAGTTCACACCTCTCCTAAGGGGCCGAAGTCCTTATGTGGCCTAGTTTAGAAAATGCTGCCATGGTGGTTAGTGTGGGTAAGTTACTTCTGAATATTAAGTGAGGCCAAACAGGATGTGGTTCTCTTATTAGATCTAGTGAAATGTTTTATGCTTTCTCCCCAAAAGCTCATACCCACCATATTCTTGGATATGTTGTGATTGGCAAACACCGGCTGTTACTAAGTGCACTGAAGGTTTTGTTTGGCATTTCATGGATCGAAACACACTGGTCATGACAATGCTTGTTACACAGTTAAGGGCTTTGAGATGACTTTTGCATTCAGGAGTATTTCCAAACAGTAGTCTTTGGCAGTTTAGTAGCTGGGCAGCCATAAGCCAGTTTTACTAGTGAGTCCCCCGAGGCCTCTTAGATAATTCCAGGAAACCCTCCTCTATGTGACCTCTTTCATATTCCTTCAAAAATGAATGGCTTTCCTGTATGTCTTTCACAAAGACCACAAGCCCTGGAAACTTCACAGAGGTGGGCAGAGGTAGCTGTCCAAGCTCAGGAACAATTCTGAGTAAGACAGAAACAGAACCAGAGGCTGCAGACTCTGACCCGTGGGCCAAACCCATCAAATCTGCTCTGCAGATGTGTTTATTTGGATCAGATGGTGTTTCTTTTTTAAACATTTAAATTAGTTGCCAAGTTGCAAAAACGGGATTTTTACTTCCAAAAGTCTGGGTATATGACTTGTCTTGAAAAATTGGAAAACATTTGGCCACTTTGGGATCCACGTTTCTGCACTGGCAGCCGTCAGCGGAGCTGAGTCTCTGCAGAGAGTCCCCAGGCACTGCTTTCTGTCACCGGTCTCTGCATTTCATCTGAGTCACTGTCATGACCCCGAGATAGGCAGTGAGGCTGAGCGTATGTGGTACATAATTATTGACGGGGACAGTCTTTTACATTTAACTCACATGATCTCTTTGATAAACAGATGGCACACGTTATTCAAAAGGTGAGATGAGTTGATGATTTTTGTTGTCTGGAAACAGAAGGACAGTGAAAACTCCCTCTTCACTGTGGACCCTGTCACATTGCATCCCTTCTGACAATTCTTTGTGGACTCTATCAGTTCTGGAAAGAGGTCCAAAAGCATTTGACTTGGGTGGAGGGAAGCCTTCTAAACTGGCAAAGGCCGGTTCTTAAATGCCATCCTGGGGGAGCACATCATTCGTTCCTGGGCTGCCTGCCTGCCACCTCTTTCAGAATTTTGAGAATGAAATGATCTAGACAAGACACTTCCCTGGGCAGCATTTTCTAGATGTTGGGACCACAAAGAATGTGTTTAATCTTGTTTTGTACAGCTGCACAGAAAAGACTGTTTCAAACTCTTCTTTCTATTTTGTCTTTTGGGGGAACCCTGTCAGGAAATTTACGACCATCTCTTGGAAGTCCCGGTCACTCGGGAGCAGTTACACCACTACCGGAATGTGGCTGAAAATGCTCGAAGTGAACTTGCTGCAACTTTGGTCAAATTTGAATGTGCTCAGTCTGAGGTAAGATTGTGCATCTTCGTGACTCAGAAATGGACCATTTCAGTTTCTTATAGAGTGAAGTAGAGTGTAGAGGTGATCAGAAATAGGACAGGATGGGACGCCTGGGTGGCTCAGTCGGTTAAGTGTCTGACTCATGACTTTGGCTCAGGTCATAATCTCATGGTTTGTGGGATTGAGACCCGTGTTAGGCTCTGTGCTGACAGTGCGGAACCTGCTTGGGATCCTCTCTCTCCCTCTCTCTCTGCCCCCACCCCTCTGCTTGTGCATGCTCTCTCTCTCTCTCTCTCAAAATAAATAAGGAAACTTTAACAAGCAGGAAGGGGAGATACAGCTTTACAGCTTCTGGTGAAGGTTATACTTACTCCGTCATGGTGCACCTGTGCCCCTTGTAGAGAATTCCTGCAAGGTGATGCATTTGCTGTGGTGCGAAGCAAGGTGACATGGCTGCATCCTTGATGTCAGAAGAGCTTCACAGCCTTGAGAGACTTGGGGACATCTGATGGCTTTGGTTGAAGCTGTCTTGGGTTTGGGGCATTTTTAGCATCTTGTTGAATATATTCCTTTAATGTGGACTGTTTGTAATCTGGAGCTCTTAGGATGGAATTCTGATTCCTAGAATAGTGGTAGTCCTGACTGGCTGGCTGGGGAAATTCTAGGATGATGATTGGGATCCATCCACCTTCTGGAATTGGGGCTATTGTGGAGTTTCTGAGAGAGTCTCTCTAGATCCATTCTCTTCACAGCCAGGTGGCCCTGAGGGAGTCCTAGGCTTGCCTATGAGGTAACTAGTGTTTTCACTAGGCTGCCAGGACCCCACAGTTGATTTGATACCTTGTGTGTGTGTGAGAAATTGTATGCATGTATACTCACAGTTCCAAATCAGTATGTGCATTCATCAAGTTTTCTTATGGGGGGACCTGACATCCCATTAGGGCATGTGCATCGTATTTTGATGCCACAGAATTCATAAAAGTTAAAATGTTTCTTTTGTATAAATCTTAAGGATTTTCCTATTCTTCCATATTTTTCTTGGAAATCTGAGTATTATTATTATTATTATTATTATTATTATTATTTTATTGCCCACAATAAGGATCTAGAAGGCAAGTGGAATACAGTGATATATCAAATAGTCTGTATCCACTTAGGAACCAGTTGTGGCCATGAAATGGCAAGTATTTTAGCTTGTGCTTGTAAGTTGCTTGTTGCATTGTCTGTCAGCAGCAATTGCAGCATACCAACTTAGAAAATCAGTTGCCATTGCAAAATATTTTATTGCTTTTTGCAAAACACACCACAAATGTCTCTTGAGTGACACTGAATCACCCCCCAAGACATTGCTCCATTGGTTTTGAAAGAGACAGAGTATGAAGTCCATTATTTAGGCATTATTTCTCATCTGGTGATACAGAGACAAATAGGAAAAAAAGAAAATAAAAGTTGGATTCAGTCATGGACGAAAGCTTGAGATTTGAAATTATGGTTTTGGGCATGAGAGACTCTTGAATGCTGACAAAAACTGAGAACTGATGGATGTAGGGGGGAGGGGGGATGGGCATGGAAGAGGGCACTCGTGGGGATGAGCATGGGGTGTTATGTGGAAACTAATTTGACAATAAACTATTTGTAAAAAAAAAAAAAGAAATTATGGTTTTGGGTTTCCTTATTTTTTTTTAATGACAAAAAATGTTTTAATGTTTATTTTTGAGAGAGAGAGGAGAGAGAGCGAGCGTACAAGCAAGGGAGGGGCAGAGAGAGAGGGAGACACAGAATTCGAAGCAGGCTCCAGGCTCCTGGCTGGCAGAGCAGAGCCTGACATGGGGCTCAAACTCAGGAACCCTAAGATCATGACCTGGGCCAAAATCAGAGCTCAACTGAGCCGCCCAGGGTCCCTATGGCTTTGGGTTTCTTAGAAGTACTTTGAACATATGCCACTAAATCCTTTTCCTTCTTTTATGGGTTTTCCATGTTAGCTTCGAGAACTCCGATCCAAGATGCTTTCGAAAGAAGCCTCCTGTCAAGAGTTGAAAGCTGAAATGGAGAATTACAAAGAAAATAATGCTAGAAAATCATCTCTCCTCACCTCTCTGAGAGACAGAGTTCAGGAGCTGGAGGAAGAATCAGCAGCACTTACCACTTCTAAAATTAGAACGGAAATCACAGCTCACACTGCCATCAAGGAGAACCAGGAGTTGAAGAAGAAAGTTGCAGAACTAGAAGAGAACTTACAGTAAGGGTATTTCAGTGTATTTCTTAGTCGAGTTAGTGTTAAAATACTAGCTTCTGATAGCAGGGCACACCCTTGAAGGTGCTGGCGTTTTGCCTTATTTGGCCCTGAAACTCAATTTGAAGAACAAAATTATTGACCTCAAGTATCTTTGGAGTCTTGAAAATGTGTCTCAAGCTCATTTCTAAATGTTACCAGGAATCTTGACAAACAAGGCATTGTCCTGAGCATGTTTATATCCAATTGATTAGGGCTGCAGATGCTTATATACATAATTTGGAAGATTTTCTTAAGTAGAGGTTTAACCAGAGGCGGTGGGGAGTAGCACACAGAGGGAGGCATTTATTCAAAAGCTCGCTATAAAAATACCCCAGAAGCCCAGACCACTCCAGACCACCCCGAACACTCCTCGTTAGATTTTATTGCCAATTTATGCAGAGAACTCATGAAATCTGGGTTTTTCCACACTTAGTTCTGGCAAAAGGTAATTATTGAGACAAAATTGGGAACTAGTTGTTCCTAAAATATACTTTTAAAATTCTGTGTGTAATAACTTAAATAACTTTAATAATAGGATACTTGTATTTATTTTCCTTATTCCATCTTTAAAAAAGAACCCCAATCCTGGGGCGCCTGGATGGCTCAGTCAGTTGAGCGTCTGACTTCGGCTCAGGTCATGATCTCACAGTTCGTGGGTTCGAGCCCCTCATCAGGCTCTGTGCTGACAGCTCGGAGCCTGGAGCCTGCTTCAGATTCTGTGTCTTCCTCTCTCTCTGCCCTTTGTCTGCTCACACTCTGTCTGTCTCTCTCAAAAATGAATCCTAAAAAATATCCCAGCACTTCCAACTCTTCTCCTCTTGTTCTTCTACGTACAGGAAAACTGCTTAAAATGTGTGTATAGACTCACTGTCTCCAATTCTCCTCCTCTCCTCTCTGGGGTCAACTCAACTGACCCCTCTGTCTAAGGTGACCAGTGACTGCACATTGCAGATTAAATAGTCTGTCTTTGTCTCACTAGACCTACCAGTACATCGGTCACAGATGGTCTTTCTCTTGAACCACTTACTTCTTCTGGCTGCCGGGACGCTACGCCTGCCCGCTTTGTTCCCGTCCTCTCTGCTGCCCTGCTACTGTCGCTTTTGTTTTTCCCGTCTCATCTCGTTGACTTCTGAAGACTGGAACGCCCCACGACTCAGACCTCGGTTCTCTTCTGGTTTCTAAGTTCGCTCTCTTGCTGATCTCGTCTGCTCCCCTGACGTTAAGTATGATCTAAATGCTCGTGCCTCCCACATGTCTGTGTCTAGCCTAAATCTCTTCTCAGAGTCAAGACCCACGTATTTTACTACCTACTGAGCATCCACACGTGGATGTCCAACTGGCATCTCAAACCTAACATGGCGGAAACAGAAGTTATTTCCACAGAATCCTCCTGTGCTTTCCCTCATCTCCTTCAGTGATAATTCCATTCTTCTAGTCCAGCAGGCCAACGATCTCGGTAATCGTCCTCAGTCCTCTTGGCTTTTCACACTCCAGGTCTGATCTTTCAACAGGTCCCATCCTCTCTACCTTTAAAATACATCTAAATTTTGCCCTAATTGCTAGTAAACTGATTTGAGCGACTACCGTCTCTCTCCTGGATTTTTGTAGTAGCCTCCTAAGTGATTTTCCTTAGGAAAATGTGCCCTTCGTAGCCGGAGTGATCCTATAATAACATTCAAATTAGATCTTATCGGTCCTATGCTGAGAGCCCTGCAATGACTTCTCTTTGCATTCAGGGTAAAGACAAAGGATAGTCTGTGGCCTAGAAGGCTCATCCTGACCTGGTTTTGCTTCCATTCTCTCTCTTTTTCTTTCCATTTCAGCTCACTGGCTTCCTTGCTGTCCTTTGAACATAGCAGGTGTGATCCTACTTCAGGACTTTTGCACTTGCTATTCCCTTTGCCTGGGAAGCTCTTTCCCCAGGTATTGTATGGCTGCCCCTCTGCTCCTTGTAGATTTTCACTCAGAAGTCACTTTCTCATGAGGTCCTCCGCGAGTGACTACATCTAAAATTTTACCCTGCCCCCCCCAATATTTCTCACTCCCTTCCCTGCTTAATTTTTTTCTCTCCAGCTTTTTAAATAACATAGTATACATTTTACATACGTTAATTTTGATTATTGTCCATCTTCACAACTGGAACATTAGCTCCATGAGGGACAGGATGTTCATCTGTTTTATTTACTACCATGTCTTTAGTGCCTTTAATAGGACTTTGTCCATAGTAAGTACCCAATAAATATTTACTAAATAAATGAGTAATAAAATGATATGTAGTAAAAATATATCTTTTAATATAGAAGATTGCCAAAAATGTTAAAATTACTCAAGACCTTACGATTCTCTCAAAATTTATACTTAACATTTTGGTGGACAGGTTTTCAGATAGTTGTACATAAATGACATCATGTAATGAACTATTTTTTACTGAATAATATGTTGCGGATATTTTAAGAAGTCATTTATTATATCATTTTAATAGCCCATGATACCCATTTGCCTGAAATATCATAATTTACTTAAATTTTTCTTTTTGCTATTTCCTATAGGCACTTAGGTTAGTTCTACTAAAAAAAAATTATTATAAACCAAGATGCAATGAATATTCATATGCATTCATATTTTCACATTTATGTGATTATGTCCTTAGGGTAGATTCCTGGAACTTTGTTGGGTCGAAGTGAAATGCAAATAGAAGTGGAAATAGTTCAGCAACTCTTAGGATTGAGAAACAAGATTGAAATCTTGGAGGGAATGTGTGGAATCATACACAAAAATCAATCAGGATCATAGCATTAACTGTGTGTTCCATGAGTCAGAGAGACGACTAAATATTACCTTTTATGTGCTGAAAATAAGAACTTAGAGATATACTGATGTTGGTCTTTTATTGTTACACATTTTTCTAAATAGAAATATGATATGCTTTTGAGTATATGCAATTATATGCTTTGTTAATCTTTGAATAGAGTGAAAGAATTTGCAGTAAACACTCAACATGGTAAAAAGGGAAAGCAATAATCATCTCTATTATCTAGGGTAGTAAAAAACGATACCAAATTACTTAAATGATTCTAATTTGCCTTCAAAGTATGTCTATTTTTTGATGATCTCTTAGTCTCTAACATTTGAAGTATTAAAAGTAGACCATGCTATTTCAGCAAACCTATCTGAGATTTGAAATGAAATATTCATAGCAGAGCATAATCAACTGATTTTCCTTGACTGGCCCATATTGGTACTCTTTAAAAACTTTGGATGTCTGAAAATTAATAATAGTCTTTGCTGGTGATTTAACTATTTTCTAGAGGGGGAACTCTGTTTTCTAGAGGGGGAATATCTCCTGCTCCCGATATATTTTTTATTATAGATATGCTTGGCCATGAACTAGGGAATGCCCTAACTAACTCTTGTAGATCACTGTGTAATGTCTGAAAATAAAACAAAGGATGATACACTACAAGAAATATAGCAGCGGGCACCTGGGTGGCTCAGTGGTTAAGCGTCTGACTTCGGCTCAGGTGGTGATCTCGCGGTTCATGAGTTCGGGCCCTGCATTGGTCTCTGTGTTGACAGCTCAGAGCCTGGAGCCTCCTGCTGATTCTGTCTCCCTCTCTCTCTGTTCTTCCCCCACTCATGCTCTGTCTCTGTTTCTCAAACACAAGTAAGCGTAAAAAAATTAAAAAAAAAAAAAAAAAAGGAATATAGCAGCACTGTTCTTCTTCCTCATGAAAACCCAAAGGAGACCCATGACTAAATATATCCATGAGTGTTCTAGAGATTTATTGGTATTTGTGCAAATCCTAAATGATGGAGGACAAGAGGCAGAGAGTTGTCTCCTTTGCTGTTATTAGATCTAAGACACCATGAAGATTTCTCTACATTTCTGAGAAGTGTAGATAGCCAGGATGGTTTTCACTTTTCTCCTTCCCTTATGGGAGAGTGTGACAACCATGTGCTCTGTGTCTGAGAAACTGTATTGTGTTGAAAATAATGATAGGATTACAGAGAGCTTAAGTTTTGAACGTTGTTTGATGAATCATCTCTTGTATGGTGTTAACACTTGATCTGTTTGTTAATTTGCCCTATAGAAAATGCTTAAAGGAAAATGAGGAGAATAAGAAGCAAATCTCAAAGAATTGCAGGAGACATGAAGAATTTCTAGCTCAACTTTGTGACTGCTTAGATCCGGACAAGAAGAATGAAAAGGCGTCAGATGAAGATTTAATTCTAAAGGTGTTTGTATGCACATGAAAAAGGAGATAAATGTAGTGGTCATTCTGACATGTGCCATGAAAGAAAGTGTTGGGGCTGAGTGTGAGGGTGGCGGGAGAATGGGATGGTAGCCAGAGTATGGAGTTACTTGACTATGTGACCTAAGATAAACCTTAAATCACCTCTCTGACTCAATTCCAAAATCCTTTCTAACATTATTTGGGATTAATTGCACTCCAGAAAGGATTAGTTGTTTTGTCTAAAATATGTTCAGGTTGCCGAATACAATTAATTATTCATTTTAATGCATTTTTAGGGAGGTTTTTGTTTTTGTTTTTGTTTTTTTTGCAGTTACAGACAGAAACACACACACACACACACACACAACTATGTCATTTTGGGGACATTTCTTGAGTATAAGGTTAAGATTAGTTCTAAAGTACTTTTTAGTTTTCCATTGAGATCAAATAATAAAAGTCCTACTTTAGTGGTAGGTTACAAGTAAGATGAAATTACAAGTCAAGTGAATAATTGACTTGGCACATAGAGATCCATAGGGCACCTGAAAGTGTTGGGGCTCTTACCATATTGGGGCTCATTTCACACCTTGCATATCCTTGCTTCCCCGCAGATGTCCTCACAGCCAATCCTTTTTTGTGAAAATTGAGGTGTCATTGACATGCAGCATTATATTAGTTTCAGGTGTATGGCCTAATGGTTCGATACTTGTATACATTGTGAAACGATCACCGTAGTAAATCTAGTCACCATCTGTCACCGTAAAAAGTTACAAAAATTTTATTATTTTTTTCTTGTGATGAGAACTTTCAACATCTGCTTGCCTGCAATTTTCAAATATGTACTAAATACCACTGACTGTAGTCACTATATGGCTCATCACATCCCTGTGACCAGTTCATTTCACAGCTGGGAGTCTGTGCCTCCCACCCCCTTTCACCCATTTCGCCCCCCTTTCCCCAGCCCCTCCCCGCTGGCGACAACCGCTCTGTCCTCCATATTATCCAGGGGCCCTTTTGTTTTGTTTGTTCATGTGTTTTGTTTTTTAGATTCCACATATAAGTGAAATCATAGAGTATTTGTCTTTTTCTGACTTATTTCACTTAGCATAATACCCTCTAAGTCCATCCATGCTGTCCCAAATGGGAAAGTTTCATTTTCTTTTATGGCTGAGTAGTATTCTATTATATAGAGAGAATTATTATTATATTAGATAATACATAATATTATATATATAGTCTCACATCTTTATTCATCTGTTGATGGACACTTAGGTTGTTTCCATATCTTGGTTATTGTAAATAATGCTGCAACATATATATGGGTGCATATATCTTTTCTAAATAGTATTTTTATTTTGGGGGAATAAATACTGAGAAGTGGAATCCTGAATCATATGGTTAATCTATTTTTAATTTTTTGAGGACCCTCCATACTGTTTTTCCACAGTACCTGTACCAGTTTACCTGCCCACCAGCCGTGCACAAGCTTTCCTTTTTCTCCACAGCCTCACCAATAGTTAGTTTTTATCTTTTTGATATTGGCCATTCTGATGGATGTAAGAATGATAATCCATTCTGATGAATTGTGCCTTTGATTTATATTTCCTGGACAATCAATGATGTTGAACATCTTTTCATGTGTCTGTTGGTCATCTTTGGAAGAATGTCTGTTCAGGTCCTCTGCCCATTTTTTAAATTAAGTTTATATATTTTTTAGAGAGAGAGAAAGAGAGAGAGAGTGCACATGTGCATAGGCGGGGGAGGGGCTGAGAGAGACAGAGACTCCTTCGCAGGCTCCTCACTGTCAACACAGAGCCTGACTTAGGGCTCGAACTCACAAGCCATGAGATCATGACCTGAGCCGAGACCAAGAGTCGGACAGTTAACCAGCTGAGCCTCACAGGCGCACCATGCTGCCATTCTTAAAGACCATGCCTCAGAGTTCTAGGAGTAAGCTTCCCAACTGTACTTCCTAAAAACTGCAAAATAATCTCATTTTCCCTCAGGAAGTGTCCCTCTTCACTACTGGGTTTCCATAGCTCAGGCCTAGAGTCGACCTATAAGCGCCAGGGCGCTGGGTGCAGCTCTTCCTACTGCTCACCTGGGACCGGGAGCCTGGCTGTAAAAGTCTCCTGTGCAGGGTCATTTGGCAAGTGATAGGGAAGAGAAAAGAGAATGAAAAAACTCCTTCTTTCATGACATCCTTTCCTCCCATCAGAGACTGTCTCCAGGTGCTAATCTGGGTGTTGGTAGTGTGTCCATGATGCCTTATTATTTTCTATATTTCAAAGGCTTTGATATCTGGGGCCTTGCTGACCCAGGAGAGTCTGACACCCAGGGTTAGCCAGTTCCTCATAAAAGACTCTCCCGGGAGCAACCACATCCAAACCACACACTCCCACATCCCAACCAAGGAGGCATTCCTAAGGATTTATTTGACATTCATCCATTTTGCAGATATTTAGTGAGTGACTACTATACACTAGACACATTTCTGGGTGCTGGTGGTGCAGCAGTGAATGAGCTAAGACCCAAGCTGTGCTCTCCTAGAGCTTTCATTACTGTGAGATAAAGATGAGGGGGAAATAAACAAATATCCAGTATTCTCCCATGTAGGAAAAGGGGAAGAAAAACCCATCAGGATGTGGGGACAGAGAGGGAAGCAGGTCAGAGGTGTGGGAGGCCAGTGTAGGTAGACTGGCCAAGGAGTGCCACTCTGAGGCAGGGACCTTTGGAAGCTACTGGGGACTGAGTGCACACATAGGCGGGACAGTGTTCAGGAGAGAGGGCACAGCCTGAGGCGTGTGCAGGGCAGCACAGTGACAAAGCACTGAGGCTGAACGATGGGTCACTTCCCCCTGGAGCCCTAACACAAATGCTGACTCTGGAGTGTGGGGTCTCAGCCCTTCCTCTGAGCTTCCGCAGGGGCTAAGCTGTCTGCAGGGGGCGGGGGAGGGGGGGGCGCTAGGTCCTCAGGGCCAAGGAGCCTGTCTGATTTCATCTTCCCTCCTCGTAAATCTTACAAAGCTTCTTAATGCTTCCAGCTAACAACTCAAATGCACAACATAGGGAGTGAAAAATTCTGCTCAGCCCAATGGTAGCCACTGTGTGAGCATGTTATTCCAGATTTTTCTATGCTGATAGTAATTAGAAGGATTTTCTTTTTCAAAAGAGAATCCTGCTTTTTTCTCCATATGTACCCCACCCCCCCCATGCCAGGTAGCACCTTGCAGGCAGTGCCAGGGGTCATGGGCAGAAGAGAACTCCCACGCCCCCTCACCTGCTGTAATGTCTGTAGAATGTCAGCTTCCCCAGATTACTGAAGCCAGGGGCTTGCTGACGCTTGCTCTGTTGGGAAGCCTTTTGCAGGATTGTCCTCACTGTTGCCCCGTAGCTATCTTTTAATTACTTTTAATTTGATCTCTGGGTCTGCTCATAACAACAGAGTTTAGAGGCTGCTTTTGAAAATGTGTTCCTTTGAGTGGATGGAGGGACCCCATTATCGGTTCCCACGATAATGCAGTCAGTGGAGTGTGTAGATCAGAGGTGCTTAGAGGAAGTGTTTTGAAATTGTTAATTTTTACAGGACAACTGTAACTGCTTCCTCTTCAGCTTAGAGAGCTGTGCAAGGAAAACGCACTCGTAAAAGGACAGATTGTTACTCTTGAAGAGACTATAAATGTCCATGAGATGGAAGCAAAAGCTAGCAGAGAAACCATCATGAGGCTTGTTTCAGAAGTAAACAGAGAGCAGGAAAAAGCCGCCTCCTGCGCTGAAGAAAAAGACAAGCTGAGCCAGGTACAGTATGTGAAGTGTGCGTGTGCATCTGCGGTGGTGGTTATGAAGCAGAAATGGAAAGCCAGGTGTGGGTGAGCACACTGGCGGTTACTGACCACAGTTTCAAAGGGCTGCTGTCCGCAGGAGGGCTGGGGGGGGGCGGGTGTGGGAACAGCACGGGACTTGGTGACCTGAAAAGACCATTGATACCCATTTTTTTCTAATTAGAGGAAAAAGAAATATGACATGTTTGAACGTAGAGTTTGTAGAGAATGGGTCCTACTTTAGACTCTAAGGACTTTAAAAAATCAAACATTGGGGAGCCTGGGTGGCTCGGTCGGTTAAGCGTCCGACTTTGGCTCAGGTCATGATTTCGCAGTTCGTGGGTTCGAGCCCCGTGTTGGGCTCTGTGCTGACAGCTAGCTCAGAGCCTGGAACCTGCTTCAGGTTCTGTATCTCCCTCTCTGACCCTCCCCTGCTCACACTGTCTCTCTCTCTCTCTCTCAGAAATAAATAAAATATTAAAACATCAAATATTAATTTTTTTAACAAATAGTTAATGCATCCATTTCTAAAATTCAAAATTCTACATGGACATAAGGGTATATGGGGAAAGTCTCCCCCTGCCCCTCTGCTTCCTCCAGCCACCCAGTTGTTCTCCTCAGAGGCAACCTCTGTCAACAATCTTTAATATACTCTTCTAGAAATATTCTGTGATGTATATACATATTCTTTCTATTTAATTTTTTTTGGTTTATTTAATTTGAGAGAGAGAGCATGGGTAGGTGAGGGACAGAGAGGGACAATCCCAAACAGGGAGCTGCCAGGGTAAAGCTGGTAGTGGGCTCAATCCCACGAACCTTGAGATCAGGACCTGAGCCAAAATCGAAAAGAGTTGGATGCTCAACCAACTGAGCCACCCAGGTACCCTCTTTTTATTTAATTTTAAAATAAATGACAGCATGGTCAGCATTACATTTTTCTCTTTTTATTCTTAACACAAAATGGTAATATACCGCACACGGTTATAAACAAGGCTGTTGTGAATAATCTTATATTGTCATGCATGAGAATGTATCAGTAAGACAAAATCCTCAAGGTATACTTGTGGGGTCAAAGGTTATAGGTATTATTTAGAGAGAGACTGTCAAAGGGAAATGTCTCTTAATTTTAAACCTTTCTTTGTACAATGAATTGCTTGATCTTTGCAAATTACCTAAAACCTGTTTGAGCATGCAAATTAATATGGTATGCTTTTTAACACTATAGAATCCTTCAATTATATTTTTATACTTTTGTGACAGAAACTAATTATGGGATTAATAATAATGATGTTTTCAAAAGTGAAAGTGAGCCAGTGCAATCAGTTAATAAAATATATAGAAGGCAATTAAATGATAAAGGAGATGTGGTTTAAAATGAGGTGATGACTGGATTGGATTCAGGTCAAATGCTTTTGGCAAGGGTATTTCAAAGGTTAAGTTGTATACTTCATATCACAGGCAAGTAATACATGCTAGATTGTTCCTTGTTGCTGACACTGTGTGCCCGTCTCCTTAGCGTAAAGGTATGTTTTTTTCTTTTGCATTTAAGTAAGGTATCTCTGGGCAGATCATTTCTGATAATTAGCAGGTTATTTCTGTTCCCCATTGACTTTACCAAGTGGTGTTACCATCATTGATTCTTGCCTGGATTAACTGACATCAGGGGTGACGAAAAGGTAATATCTACTGTTACTGTTCCTTTTGTTTATTAGCTGGCATTCTTCTGTAAAGAAAAGAAATAGAAAGCTTTTCTTTTCTTTTTTTTTTTAAAGCTTTAAAAAAGATTTCTGTTTCTTTTCAGTTCTATGGACACATGGATTTTTATTTACTTATTTTTATAATCAGTTACTGTTTTTTTTGTGTGCGTGCTCCAAATTCATTAAATTGGCCTAGAAGCAGCCCCTTCAGGATGGTCTCTGTGACCTTGAAACTCATCCCTTAGTCTTTTAACATTTCCTCACTTTTTCTGACAGAAGTCATGACATCTTTGCATCTTTCAGACCACAGAACTACAGTCAGCCTATTTTGTAGGGGGCTTCGGTGCCTTTTACAGGAGAATGGTGCTTAAAAACAAGATTTGGGCTTTCAGTGTGCTCATTGCTGTTGGGATGTCATTTCTTTCAGTGGCCAGAGCTAGAAATATATTTTTAGTAATAACTTAATACTGGTATTTTAAGTTAAAAGTGATGTTTAGAGTTTTAAAAATATCTTTTGTTTTATAGTAGTATCTTTTGAATCCTAATCATAATATTTACTCATTTGATTTTTCTTTCAGTATATATAAAATTACTTCAAAATTACGTTTTTCATCTTTTACCTACCAGTAAGACTTCCGAGTGAAGTTTAAGTCTCTCAGATTCCTTCCTTCCTTCCTTCCTTCCTTCCTTCCTTCCTTCCTTCCTTCCTTCCTTCCTTCCTTCCTTCCTTTATTTAACTTTAGAGAGAGGGGGAGGAGGGAGAGCACTTGGGAGTGGGGGAGGAGTGAATGAGGGGAGAGAATCTTTTTTTTTTTTTAATGTTTATTTTATTTTTGAGAGGGAGACAGAGTATGAGCAGAGGAGGGGCAGAGAAAGAGGGAGACACAGGATCTGAAGCAGGCTCTAGGCTCCAAGCTGTCAGCACAGAGCCTGATATGGGGCTTGAACCCATGAAGTGTGAGATCATGGCCTGAGCGAAAGTCGGCACTTAACCAACTGAGCTACCCAGGTGCTCTGAGAGAGAGAGAGAGAGGAAGAGAGAATCTTAAGCAGGCTACATGCTCAGCACAGAGCCTGACACAAGGCTTGATCCCATGACCCTGGGATCATGATCTGAGCCAAAATGTAGAGCTGGGCACTCAACTGACTGAGTCACCCAGATTTTTTACAGTAACACTATCAGAAATATTAGTATAATAGTCACCATTTATTGATCACTTACCATTAGCATAGTCCTTGTGCTAAGTGCTCAAAGAAGTTAGTGCTTTGCTCAAGTTCACATAGCTATTAAGTGGCAAAGCCAGGATTTGAAGCCTGGCCATTAAATTATTATGCTTTTAACAATAATCCCTTTACATGTATGTTCACAGCTACATCCTACATGTATATTCACAGCTGTACCCTACGTACCAGTCTGATGCTAAAAATTATTTGTCAGTGGAACAACAATATGTAGTTATGCAGACATACTCAGTGAATGAATAACTTTAATTCAGTTATAAATAGTAATTGTTAAATATTAAGCCTTGAAAATTAGGAAGAATTTTATATTTATTTATAAAAATGCATGCCTGAAGATTAGCAGTAGGAAATGAAAATGTGTTATAAGAGCACATAAGAAAAGCAGAACTTATTCCTTTTCTTATATGTGTCTTTACTTGTAAATGATGCAATGTTGTTCAGACTTGGAAACACATTCATTTTGGGATGAAGTTCTTGCCAAAATAATAAAAATTGTTAAAAAAATATGGGCAATAAAAAAACTTGAGGTCTTTAATAAAGTGCTCATTCATAGGATTATGACTCCAAGGATTTACTACTGAAAAATACTGTCAAGTGGTTTTACTGACACATTAATGGCCCTAGGAAGAGTCTTCATAATGCTTTCTAAAGCTCTGTTTTTGAGGTAGGAAACTTACTTTATTAGCAAAGCCCAGAATGGCTACAGAAGTAGTAGTATCTGCTGGCTGTGGTGCTGTTTTTACCAAACTCAACTTTTCTGATTTTCTTAATTACTCTATTTAGGTTACTTTATGAAAATTTCCCAAATAAAAATCCAGGGGATTTATTATACATATAGAGAATACATTCTTTAAAAATCTTTAGTAGTTAGTATTGAAGTATGTTTTAACAGCTATCAAAGATTGGCACCTTTTTTTTCAGTTATTTTGAAATAACTCAGTGTTGAAAGACATAGGCACTTTACACAAGCTACACACACGTTTCCCACAGATGGTACAAATTCAGATCAGTAGATCAGAAATTAAACTTATATATAGGATTTCAGATGGTTTCTTTTCCTTCACTGGTCACATTTTCTTTAATTCTGGTAGCTAGAATTGAGACTAAGAAAGAATATTGGTTTTGGAATTAGGCAGGTGTGGTTTGGAAGGATGTCCCTTCTGCTTTTTTTGGTGTGTTACCCTAAAGTAGCAAATGTGAGAGAGAACAGCATGAGACAGTAAACAGGGAGCAGAGTGGTTAAGAGGCTAGGCTCTCTGGTTTTTATCCAGGCTCCAGAATCATTTGGCTATGTGATCTGACCTTACCTCCTTGAACCTCAGTTTTTTGTGTGTAAAATAGAAAAATAATTTAAGGATCTATCTCTTACAATTAGTCTTAGCGTTGACTGATATACATGAAGTACTCAAGACATGTCCATCACATAGTCAATGCTCAGTGTTTTTATTTCCTTTTCTAGTTATTTCTTTTACCCAGGGATCCAAAGAAACATAACATTATTTTAAGAGTATAGGCATATGGAAATAAGTTTCTGGAAGTAAGGACTTATAATATAGGATATATTGCTAAAGAAATTGAAGATCTCTTTACAATCCTAGAATCATGATGTTAGAAGTGACCCAAAGGTCTTTTAGAGTCTAGATCATGTTAACTCTCTATGTGAAATCAGAGTCATCTTTAAAATGTCACTGTCTCGCTAGTCTCCATGTTTCCCTTGAACTCTCTCAGAGACAAGAAACTCACTCCTGAACAAGGAGGTTCATATTCTCTGTGTAGTTCAATTGTGACAGTTCTTCATTGTAGCAAGTCATAACTCACATCCTATCTTAAAGAAACTTCATAGAATAAACTGAAATCTCTTCCTCATGGCTAACTTTCAAGCTTTTTAAAGACATTTAGTATGGACTTCTGAGTCTTTTCTTTTGGCTAAACAGCCTGTATCTTTCAGATTTTGGATCTTTCTTTCTTTCTTTCTTTCTTTTTAAATGTTTTATTTATTTCTAGGAGAGAGAGAGAGACAGCGTGAGCAGGGGAGGGT